CACAATCTGCTCGCGGGGATTCCTGAGATTCTGCAGACAGCCACAATGCAAAGTGACCCCGGTGGCTCGCTCGGGGTCACCTGTTGCGTTTCCGGCCGAGAGGTCTCTATCGACTTAGCAAGTGCACAGGTCAGAAAGATTCGAGGGAAGATCGACAGGAATAGGGATATTTCGAAGAATGGCTCGATCGAGTGCGATGTGGTCCGTGCGAATTGACGAGTCTAGCAGGTGAGGACAGGTGGAGAAGGTTTTTTCGAGACTTTGAGTACCGAAGACACCGGGCGTTCTCGGACGTCTTCGCCATCCACTAATAATATTGATCTGATTGGGAGTGAACGGTAGTCTTCCGGAGGACGAGCATTAAGCTCAAAGAAGGAAGTAAATGTTGCAAAGTGGGCATCGATCACCCGAGCCCAAAATCAGTAGAGCCGTTGATTGAAGCTTCGATCCCTTGTTGAGCGGGTTCCAAGCCGTCGCTGGCCAAAAAGTCTCGAATCCGACAGCGTCCCATTCAAGCATCCATCCATTTGGGTTTTCTCATGTAATAAAAATTATGTAACCGCGTTTTCTTCGTTCAAGGTCTTCCCATCCATGCAGTCAGAGGCAGCGAGTAGTCACTGTGAACCTCCGATTTCCTCGATTTTTTTGAGCTTTTTCTTACTGCGAGTTTTTGAGCGACTCTCGTACCGGGGTCGGAGGCCAAAAGGGTTGCTCGCTCTTTGCTCGCTTCTCTCTACTTCTTCTTTCATTTCGGCTCAGCGACGAGTTCGCTGGTCCCAGCCAGATTCTAGCCGAGTTAGTTCTTCGCTGTTGTTGCTCGAACATTTCTCAGTCAGTCGTCATGACGCCGGTCGCTTCCGAGTCTCTCGTGGCGTTTGAGCTCTCGGCATCTCTGAGTTCTGAGAGACGATCCGGGGAGAATTCGACGTCAGACAGAAATTTGAGGAAAAAGAAAGAGAAAAATGAGCTCTGGTCATGGAAATTATGAAAAAAATTCATTCTCCAGTCGCGAAAGGCATGTTTCCGATCGAGGAGGATGCTTCCCTCAGTTCGAGACGGAAGATTGCCCCGAATGAAGAGCGGTCGGACTTCGCGATTTTATTGGGTTGAGAGCGAGCGTCGCGCAGAACGGGTCGATTAAAAGCAGCCGTGAAAATAGAAACAGAAATTCTGATTCGAAGATGTAGCTTTTGTGGAACTGTGTGCGATTGAGTGAAGAACAAGAAAAAAGTTCTCTCTTCGGTGATTGACTGAATCGGACGCCGCGGCTGCTGCTAGAGCTCTATAGTGCCACACCCGATTCGTCTGTTCGTCGATCTGTACGTCCGTTCAGTTGGCCGTGCGTTCAGGATTCGTTCGTCCGAGCGTTCAAATGTCTACCAATTCTACCGGGGCGTCTCTCCAAAGAGCCATCAAAATTTGAAGACTCGTTTTTTCTTTGATTGTATTCTCGTTCTTTATTCTCATCTTCTGCTCCCTGAGTGATCTTTTCAATCCGAAAGTCGAAAAGAAATCGCGCCCGCCGCCGCCGCTGCGACGATGAGATGTGACGAGCAGCCGCCAGAAGACCATCGTCGGATCGACCGAACCGAGGAATTGAGCACCAATTTCGGGACAAAACTCCTTATTTTGCGGAACACCACCCTTTCATCTGAATGGCACCTTTCTGGATGAGTGAGTGAGTGAGTGAGTCAAGCCTCATACAAACACATCGCCGGATAAGAAAAGCCAACGCTGCAATCGCGAGCTGCTTTGAGCGTAGAATCTGCCCGATAGGGAATCCATTGTCACTTGTTCGGTGACTCGGCCTCCCGACCGAACGACGGCGCATCGGGCGCCGGGTCGATTGAGAGATGACTTCACGGCTCAGTACAGCGTTTGGTAGGAGAACTCGAATAACGTGATATGATTGATTCCCACCGATCGCAATCGATTACCCGATCCGTATAGTGGAGCGAGTCGTTGGAACGACTGCTCCTCCTCCGGGATATATCGCCATCGAGGGAATTCTCTCAAGGATCATCCGAATGAATCGATCCCCATACGAACGTAGGACCCCATCGCATCGAGACCGCACTTCACCGAGCATCGATCCCGGGTACATGCGATGCTGTCTTTGTTTTTTCGCGGATCTCAAGACGAGATCTCGTTCGCTAGTCGGTGAGGGTCCGCACTGAAAAAAGTGGGATCAACATCGCGCAGAAACCGCAAGTTCTTCCCCGACATGACTGGGATGGGAGTCCACGACTTCGGACCGAGGGACCTGGAGCATCATTCATTAATTTTACCTGGTTGAAACGATCGCCTAAAAGCTTTCTCTCTGTCACCATGAGCGCAGTTTCTGTAGCTCGGTCGAACGGTCTTCAAGAAGGTGGCGAAACGGACGCGAAGAATTGATTTTTAAAGAGGGCCATGATCGACGTCGTTCTTCAGCTAGCGCTCTTAATTATTTTGGGCGGAAAACAGAAGCTCGGCGTCTAGCGGTGACCCTAGTGAGATTAATTCCCCAGTCATAAAATCATCGAAGAAGTCGTGATATTCCGTAGATGGATCTTTCATCGAGTCATCCGAAATCCGCTTGTGATTGACGACTGATTCGGCGAGTTTTCATGAGGCTTTGGCTCTCCAGCTCCCGCTAACCGCTATGATCGAAAATCTGACTCGACAGTGTCCCAGCCATCGAAAGACTGCCTGAATATTTGTACCATACGTTTTACACGAAGTATTATAGATTGATACGTGTAACGGATTGATTTCATCCGATGAGTCTCCATCGTTTTTGTGGTTCACACGAGCCAGATGTGGGTCTTTAAGGGATGAAGAAGACGTCGACTTCGCGGCCGTCTCTTCCAAATGTCCCGGACTTGGCCCGGGGCCTAAAGCATGGAATTCTTTGTCCGCGAACGTACGGCTGCTATCCATGAGCGAGGAACGTGGAGGGAAATTGAAATGATCGATCTTCAATGAAACGGGGAACGACCTGAGCGGCGGCAGACGGCATTCATTCTTGTGGTCGGCTTCTGGGGCGACCTGATCTCGGACCGAGTTATCCATCACGAGCGTTTACCACCTAGATCTCGACACCTCCTTCACTCTTCATATGGCTGTCAGAGATCGGCGCTTCGATGAAGACAGATTCGCTGCTTTGGTACATCCCGTGTTTGCCTAGAGAGTAAGTTGCCTCGACCAACTGACTGTCTGACCGACCGACTGTCTCATCTAATGAATGACTAAACGACTAACTAACTGAGGCAATCGTCCGCCCTCCGACTGACTGGTCGGCTGACTGATTGGATGACTGTCGCACAGCGAGTCTTACTACCGCTCATTTTTCTTCCGTCCTGGAATTCCGCGAAAAAGAACGCCAAAAGCTCAGGAACGCGTGCGATACTGCCACCGCCCGCTCTGTCGTTTGGCCGACCCGCCGGGAATATGATTAAACGCTGCTGCGGACCCGCCGGCCGGTGGTCCTTGATGGTTGGTCGCTCGGTCGGCATAGTCGCCGAAATCCTGATCGCCATCGTAGTCATCGACGGTTCTACTGACCGTCGCCGCCGCAAACCCGATCGTTTTGACCCAGAAAGGGTTACCGAAACAAGGGCCATCGATAGAATCAATTTGAGTAATCATCTCTCTTCCTCCGACATCTAACTGCGCTTGCCGCGAAGCAGAATTGCCTGGAAGGAAGTAAAGCAAGCAAGCAAGCAAGCAAGCGAGCGATTCCTTGTGAATTTCAAATTCGACCGTACGTTGCATGCCTGCTCGCCGGATGGAACAATTATCGATATGGCTTGTCCGACTGGCTGTCGCTTTTTTTCTTCCCATCGGAAAACGCGTCCCGCGCAGCAAAAGGATCGTTGCGGTAAGATTCCGAGCTAGCTGCACCGGATCATGCAACCCGAGCAAGTGACCCGAGGCTACTTGAACGGAATTTCCTGGAAACACCTCGAGCACAGACACAGTGAAACACCGTCTCGGCGTGAGTTTCTTCTTTTTTCTCGTTTCCAGGAATGGGGAAGGATCAGGCTCTCTTGTCCGTGAATTTTCCGAGTCACCCCCTACCCGTGTGCGATTCCCGACTCGGGCTCCACGCACGTTGACCCGTCGCGTCGGTCGCCCGGATGCGATCGACGGTAATATGAGGAGATGATTTACAGGCAGAAACTGACGCTTTTCGAATAGCGAACACTACCGCCCCGAGGATCAGGCGCCCGCGCTCTCACTGCTCAAGGCAGTGCAGTAGTGCTTCAATTACAAACCTATATGCCTCCATTAACACCAAGTTTATCTATAATGTACATCTAGCCCTTTCTCCGATCTGTCTGGCTTCGCTCTGGCCAGACAGACGAGAATCCTTAGAACGTAGCGATATGGTGATGATGATGATAATTATTTCAACAGTATGGACGACACGAATGCAGAGTGGCACATGAGTCATACTGACGAGGAAAACTGCTCCAGATCGGCATGTTTTCGAAAGACTTGTTTTCGATGAATCCGCACTGGCTCGTGCGCCATGTTGTGCGACCGCGGTTTAATGTCGTTTACACGCGCGGCAATGTCAGCGAACGCAACAATAATCATCCCCATCATCATCTTTCCTGCGACTTCCACCCCAACTACACACGAATTCCGCCGGTCAACAACGCCAACGACTACAACGCGAGCGATAAAGCGACAGTGGCCATGATCATGGAGACACAGCCACGGCAATCGATGGCGCTAAAATGCGCTCGAACTCGTAACACGAGCAGCCGATAAGCAATGGCATCGATCAATTTAATAGTCATCTTGACTATGATCACTCCTCAATTATTCAGCTTTTCATAGGAGTGATCTTCGCTTTCGACGGCGTGAGTTCGAAAGAGAGAAAGACGTATCAGGTAATCGAGCGATCGATCGCTTAGAAGTCGCATCTCACGCGATTATGAGCGGCTGTAAAGATAACACTGCCGAAAACAAAGACTGTCGAACGTATGCGGGCGATGGAGAAAGTTGAGCAGGCACAGAGGAAATCAGGACACTGGGAAGTGATACCCACAGTGGAAACGGCTAGGTGGTAGAAGAATAAGAAGCGCTAGAAGGATAAGTGTTTTCTGTCAGACAACGCACGTTGAGCCGAAGGAGATGACGGAATGGATTCTGCAAGCGGCGATGGAGTTGTCGATCGCGATTCTTCGATAGTGCTTCTGAATTTGCTTCAGGTGAGCTGCGAAATGGTACCGCTATCCAATGCGACGCACTGACGAGGGATACTCCCGTCTCAAATTGACTGCGCGATCTCTGTAGGACTAGATCCTCCCTCCCAGAATCTTCTCACAGCAGCTCTCCTGGCCACCGATGCGATCGCTGGAGGCAACGCGCAGTGATTTGTCATCTGTTTTTGGAGTTTCTTTTTTTAGATCTGTGATAGCTCATTTCCAATCGGTGGATTCACACACAGTGGAGGACTGGAGTCCTCCTGGAGACGGGGCGCTGTTCCAGATTTGGAAGCTCTTCGATTATTTCTCAAAACGACCATACTCGCCACCTGTTCCCAGCAAGTCCCGTACATGAAAACGGCTCACCTCACTGCTTCGACAGCCGCAGAGAAGGCCCTCGGCTCGAACACCGATACCGAAGAGTCCGTCGGGGATCTCGAGGCCGAAGTCTGCAAAATTCTCGAAGTGGACAACCTCCTCAGCGTGAGCATGAACAATCACGTCGCAAAGCGCGCGTCCACTCAGCAGGGGAAAAGTCTACTCTCCCTGGCGCTGGAGATGCTCCCGAGACGGCAGCGCCCGCTACTCTCTCGACTCCTAGATGCCAAGAATCGGGGTGTTTTCGAGGGGAATTTGGCGGTGGTCTTCGGTGTGCTCTGCGCTTCTCTGCATATCGGTCTCGGAGAAAGTCTGAACGCTTTCACATTCTCAACTCTACGAAATTCGGTCGCCGCTGCCGTTCGTCTGGGGCGAGCCGGACCCGTCCAAGCTCAAATTCTACAGAGAGAACTGTTACCGTTCTGTTGCAAAATGGTTTCCCGATACCAGGACACAGAATGCGGGGACGACCATCAGAGCGATCCCGTGCTAGACGTTCTCCAGGGCGCCCAGGATAGACTGTTCACAAAAATGTTCTATTCTTGACGCTTGCCAAGTATATCACGCTGCGTTGGGTGGTGGAACTTCGCAGCTCTGACAAAGATTGGATTTTTTCAACTTTATGCAGAAGTCGTCAATGCTCAGTATTCCTATCATGTATGGGGGTTTCCTCCCTCTCGACCCATTGCCTCGGAGGGATATGAAACTGCAATCGTTTCGGGGAGAGGTCTGTATCCATGTGTGTGCCTCTGACGGAGTGTCTGATCGTTTCAAGGCAAGCTGGCGATGTACGGCGATGTTCTCAAAAATGATATCCGGTGCTAGCTCACTGGCGGTTTCAATGCTTGGAGAGCGCGCCCTTAAAAATAGAATTTTTTAATGACATCTCCGAAACAAACAACTGCAGTGGAGTACCTCGAGGTGTCGCCACAGCAGCCGCTGCCGACGCTGCCCGAGTTTCCGCTGCGGTTGAAAAAGCTTCAAGAGCTGCGTTACCGAGCCAGCCGCTCTCGAAAAGAGACTGACGACTAACACCGGAGCGAAAACCTCCCAGTCTGTACCCATAACAGAGAATTCAGAAGCAATTAAAAAAATACGTCGTTCAGTCAGTGCGGCTCAGAAGCCTCTGGAGCTCCGGGCGGTTGCGTTCACCTCCCGGATTTTTTAGCATGCGCATGTTTGTACATACATTGATGCGCGCTACGTAGCTCCGAGTACGACTGTCAGAAGCAGAACGAGGCCATGGAAAAAGTGAAGCGCCTACGCCACAATCGCTTAAACAAAGCACCCTTTGCATGCACACAAAAACATTGAGCGACGGAACTTCTTGTATGATTCAAAAAAGAAACCTGAAGTCATCTGGTCGGCGCGATGAACATTTGTTCGCGACATCGAGCCTATTTGATTCAGAGCGATTTATCTCGAGCTATGGAGTCGAGACTACGTGAAACGGACGAACTATCAGAGGCAACGAACGAGAACTCACTTGACTTCGCGAATAGGGAGCAGTTTCACCGCACCGGTGCGTCAGATGAAGATGCTTGGAATTATCGGAAGATATCTGATATGAGCAATAAAAATGAGAAAATGACGGAAGGAGCCGCCGATGTTGGTGCGATGGCTTGTGGAAAATCGAGTGCTTCTGGATTGCTTGTGTTACCGTTTTCGGTCCGCGATAATTGTGGACAGCGGAGTGTGTTGACACAGTAAACTTCTGGTGGCCGATGAATTATCACTCGCTCACTCGTTAGCTGACTCGCTTTTTCTAGGAAATATTCAGGAAGGAAATTAGTGATGGTGCCGTATAAGAGGCAACGAGCGATTGGCGCCGTCTTTACTACAACGACCGAGTTATTGATGACATACGACAAGACAATTACTGATTGAACGAGCGAGAATCGTTTCTGTGCCATCAAACTGTGTCCGTCTGAATTTCTATCGATCTGACTATCACCATATCCGTCGCTTCGTTCCTTCATTCGTCGTCCATCTGCCGTGCCGACTACCTATCGCTTGCAGAAGCATGATCAAAGCGCGATGCGGGCTCTTTGCATTCATAGCCATGGCTTGCCGGCTCGCTTCAACAAGTATTCACATCCAGAATTAGAAACGACGATGAAAGTTCAGCACCTCCATGAAGCCATCAGAATGACATTCACGTTCGTCTGCAACTATCCGATATGGGCGGACGATGTCTGCGCCATACGACCGAGAGAAGGATCCGAGTTTACCGAAGCTCTAATGAAAATGAGCTGGATCATCCCTCCTGGGTTCAGCTTAGCGACTATGCTCCGCCCGGCCGGCGACGGGGTCATTTTGCTAGTGGCCGGAAGGTAGGGTCCGAATATGAGAGAACATATTTCTCGATATGATTCGGCGTCAAAATATTCTCCTCAGTTTTATTAGTGAGCATGGCATTACGGATGGCGTTAATAGCGCTCCGCCGTTCATGTGCGCCGAAATCAGAAAATTACACTCGCTGGCAGATGCGATGTGTATGCATCTGATTCTGTGAGCGCGAGGCGGGGAATCAGATCGGAAACTCATAGCCAAAGGAACTGATGCAAGCGACCGGAATCAGATGAAGAAAACACGCAAACGAGAAACATGGAAAGAAAAGTAGCGTGACGGTCCAATTTCCCGCCGAAGTGCTCCATCTGAATTCCAGCGATGTCCACTTCTCGAACCTGTCCTTCCTGATCGGAATCGTCACGTCTTATTTTATTTAATTAACTGTTGCCGCAATCAATTTCGGCCCCGAGACACATATCAGCGAGATTCAATCTACGAAGTCCTTGCGGAGTCCCATATTCCTCTTTCTCCTCCCTTCATCGGGGGAATCGAGGATATCACGAAGGGGAACCTCTCATTGAGTTTGGATGCGGATTGCGTATTTCGGGGCATACGGTTCAGCTCAGCGAGAATCGTCCGAGCGCCGTACGCTCCGGACGTCTTCATTCACACCGGTACCTGTCGCTCACGAATCTGGCATCGACCCGTCGAGCAACCACGTCCGCTTCGGTGATACAGTGAAAGTGCTGAGAAATTTGCAGTGGATGAGGTTCTCGAGATGCCGTTTTGTCGCTCAACTTATCCATCCGGTGTGTCAGACGGATGGTCTGCGGCCGAGTCGAGATAGCGTTGCGCTATTCATCAAATTCCCACTTGAGCATCGCTGACTGATCAGTCAGATGCCCACACCCCCTACTCTTGAGTCGAGCCGCTCTTGGCACCGTTACAGTGTCGAGGAAAAATCGTCGAAAGCCCGCCCCCTTCCTGACTGAGCACATTGCACTTGTGAGCGTTTCACGTCAGTTTTTCATCTCCTCACGGGCTCAAACAGCAGAGGATAAGCAGCTCTAGGGTATCGCCGGTTTTTCGACGCTAAGTTCATCGTTCATCACAGATCCTGGCGGACACCGAGAGCGACTTCATTCTCTTTTTCATTTTCTCCAAAGTAACATTTGCCCGAACTAGATATGTAAACTATTTAGATAATTTCGACCAGAGGATCTTCGTCTCGAAGAGCAAGATTCCCGTCGGCTCGAGAAGGATATCGGACGGGACAAGTGCTTCCGGTTCGTTTCGGTGGCACGGGAGGAACGACCACCCTCTCGGAGCCCGCTTACATTTTTTTCAGCTTTCAATTCAGTTCCGAGAGAGATTGCGCACCCAGTCGCCGGTGGATATTTCGTTCGCCTGACGGACCACCGGCCAGCCGTTGAATTCGTAGGATCGCCGCATAAAAAATAGCTTCCGACCAACGTCTGTTTCGATGTCTCTAAATATTTGGTTGCCATACTTGCCTCGCTCTTCCATGAAAGCTTCGCTTCCCTGATCGACTCGATAGATCGTTGGTTCGTCTGAAAGCGTTAGCTGGTTAGCTGACTGGCTGGCTGGCTGGTTGTCTGACCGATCCGCCAGACGGTCGGTCTCTCTATACATTTAACCTCGCCTGCCTAAAAAATGCTATCGTTCGCCCAGACAGGGCTGATGACGTCGTTTTTATGACTTCAAGCCGTGCATAACCGGGATCGTCGACTGGACAGCCAATGGGTGCCGTCTTTGTTGGTCTCGTCGCGATCCTCAGATTTCCTATGAGGGGACTCCGGGAAGGGCCCGCGGCTCGTCGCATAATTTCAGCAGCGCTCGGAATTTCACCGGCACAGGCATAAGTTGTCGGTTTGTCTCGGTAGGTGCTATCCTGGCAAACGAAAGCTACTCATTATGTCGGGGCGGATTTGGCGCCAAGTCGTTTGCCGTTGCGCCCGTGTGCCACCTGCAGAGACTTGTACTCGCCATTTAAAAGGGAGCCCTCGTATGGCGCGCGAACTCCCCCTCCGAGTGACAGGACTCCGACCACCTCACTCGGCCGTCTGTTGGTGCCGGGCCAACGAGCTTTAAAGGTCCGCGGTCTCCATAATGACCAGACCGTTCGTTGCGATTGGAGAACACCAACCAGAACCCGTCGACGCTCCGAGAGGAATCAGGCAGAGATTAAGACGGGTGTCATTGGGGAGATGAGACTTGGAGAAAAGCTTGACACTGAATTCCGGCTCGTTCAGGCAGGGAACCTGAGAAGCGACCATCGATATTTAGGTTCGAGTTTGGGAAACTGTCCGTTTGCGGTTTGAAGCTGTGACCACTATTTTGCAAACAGATCTTCGATCTTTTTTCCAACACGATAAGCTGAGCGCCATAGGTTCTAGACGTCAACCCGAACTGTCGTCTGACTCGCTACTTCTCCGCGCACATCGCTTTTTAAATGAGCGCAGTCGCTTCGGGAAAACTTTTCCATTATGAATCGGAGCCGTGGGAACGCGTTGCCTGGAGCCATTCTCCGTCTTGACTTGGAAACTAACTTGGGGAGAAAATCGAACCATTCTTGGCTCGTACGGACCGCTCGTGAATGAGCTCTCGCCAGCCTCCGAAGGATACAGAACTGCCTACAAAGATCGAGGAGCCCTGTCGACGGGGAAGAGACAATCATCCCGAATACCTGCTCCGGCGACTTTTTTTCGAGGTTCTGAGCGCTCGAAATCCGCGATCAAGAATCCGATCGAATGATATGTCGTCGCGAGTCGTCATCAAGTCGGAGCGACGATGATTTCGCGCGATTTCAAAGGTCGCTGAGGAATGTCTAGGCTGGGCTGCCTAGACCATAGATCCATCGACAGCATATGGCTGCCCTTCACGGGCAAATCTCTGTGACCCTGTAGAGGTTCACGAAGTTCTGCGCGGTCGCCAGCCCGATAGCGAGCAGCTGAGCGTATATTCTTCTCGGTTTCACCTCGGAAATCCTCCTGAATGTTCTCCTTGAAATTAGTTATATCGACTACCAACAGTGAATCGAAGGCTGAGAGAGCCCGAGAGGGGTCTACTCATGATCCGAGCTCAGAGACTTGAAAGAGTTTCCCAAGAACCGTTCCGACCTAGAGCACCTCCGAAGGCATCTCCACGCACTCTACCCGGCAGAAATCCTCAATTTTTATCCCAGTATTGACCGTTGACACAGCTAGTGTGTATCGGCCTCTATGTTGCAAGTTTTTTGCAGCGAATGTGCTCGTCTGAACAGAGGGTAGAGTTCACGAAACAAATTTTACGGTGACCGATCCAAAGCCCAACATCGTGCTCCCGACCCAGCTAGCGAGAAACGCTTGGGTGAGAATTTTTCACATTCTTGCAGACAAATATCTCAAATTTTCGTCGGATCTGGCATTTT